CTTGGAATGGTATAGGGTCTCCTGCTTGAACAGAGGGTTGGACTAGAAGACCTCCAAGGTCCCTTCCAGCTGATTGATTGAAATATTCTCTGCTTCATAGGCTGTGCAGGAAAAGTTAAAAACAAGCCAACAATGGCATTGGCAACACACACAACCAATTGCTAAAGGAAAGCCAACAACTTCATCAGAATCCATGTCCACTCAAGGCTCTCCCGAATGGATCACATTTTTCTCTCTGTAGGATTCCAAGATTACCCTTACATTCTTTTCAAAGGCTGGGCTCATTGTCCTGCAATGGTCATGCAAAGCCCCCTGCAATTAAAGGACAACGCACAACCCTTTGAAAGAAACACCTTAGGTCCCCAACCCTTCCTCTCTTTATCGTTCCTGATATAGACCCCTATTGCTTCACCACCCTTCATCCAAACCCAAACAAGCTGGCCAGTCTGCTATCTCTGATGGCTTCTAGAGCATTTCCTGGAACCAAAACAAGACATCCTACATCGCTGGAATGTCCTTGGAAAAATGGCAGCCAGCCTGTGCATAACAAACCCTTCAAAATCGTAGGAAATGCATCCACCACCTTCCCACCCAGGATCAGAAAGGCTAAGTGAACTCACCTCCCATCTAATGCCTTCAGGATGTGCGCATCTCGAGTTTTGCTAATCCTTAGCCAGCACCGGCCTTGTTGGCTAAAGATGAGAAGGGTTGAACGTTGACCAATTGGAAAGACATCAGCTCTGGGACAAGCGAGGCTACGGGACGTGACAAGAGGCAAAACGACTAGACTTTATTCCAAGATATTTGTACTTAAAGAGGGAACTGTCCAAAAAGAGGAAGGAAAAAAAACAAAAAGAAAAAAAAATCTGGCACCATCTAAGAAGCTAAGAAAAATGAATCCCTTGGCAGGGCTTAATAAGCAAAGAGATCTGGCTTAATCTTCGTGAAGGGAGGAGCAGTAGAAACAGCTCATGATTACTGCAGTCAGATTCTTTGGGCCTTTTTTTGATGGGGGTGGGGAGAGAAACTGCTACCACCCCCAATGCTTGGAATATAAACTTCATCTCTATAATCCAATATTCATCAGAGAAGTTGTCTTTATTTATGTATTTAAAGGGCTTAACGATGCTATTAACTCCTTTTCAGACAGAAGGAAACTGCCTTAATTCTCTTAAGCTTTGAATAATGAAAGAAAAGAAAGAAGAGAAAGAAGAGAAAAGAAAGAAGAGAAAAAAGAGGCAGGGAAGGGAAAGGAAGAAGGAAGGAAGGGAGGGAGGAAGGAAGGAAGGAAGGAAGGAAGGAAGGAAGGAAGGAAGGAAGGGAGGGAGGGAGGAAGGGAGGGAGGGAGGGAGGGTGGGTGGGAGAGAAAGAAAGAGTGAAAGAAAGAGAAAAAAGAAAGAGAAGGAATGAATGAATGAATGAATGAATGAATGAATGAATCATGGAGAGTTTTTATTCTTCTTCTGGGTGTTAAAACTTTCCAAACCAGCTAGTCAAGCTAGTTTTCATAATTTAAAGCAAATGGTTCTGTGTTTAAAATAATAGGGGAAAAGTGACAAATTGAACCTGTTTGCTCTTAGTTCCTGTGTATTGTAAGTTAACAGGCCCATCTTCATTATGGGTCCATATTCTAATTAAGCTACTCCCGAAGAGCTTTGTTAAAACCCATTCGAAAAGGAGCCCATCACAACTAAACCTTTCCCATTAATGTCCCTGGGAAAGAGTGATGGATGCCTCAAAGCGGCCTATTGTGCTTGCAACTCAGGTTAGAAGCAGCAGCGCAAAAATTACATTTAATAAATGTATCTTTGCATTTAATAAATGCATTTTTTACATTTTTACTGTTGACACTTTGCAGACTCTGGAGAAGACTCGACGTGCCTCTTATCCTGGTAATACAAAGAGACCCCCCGTGGACCCCAGCCCACCCCAGTTCTTCTAATGGGAGGGCCATCACTTGAGACTTTCAAGAAGAGATTGGACTGCCATTTGTCAGAAATGGGGTAGTCTCCCACTTGGGTGGGGGTGGGGGGGTTGGATTCGATGACCTATAAGGTCCCTTCCAACTCTGATTATCTGTTATCTGAGTTCTTCTAAAGCCCAGCGTAAACCCAAAAGCTACACATACACACGCACACAGAGAGAGAGACACACAGACAGAGACATGGAGCCTCCCATTTGAATTCTTTTGCAAACATTTTGACACACATTTCATTTAAGGCAAGTCAACAAGTTAAAAACTCCCAGCTGCCAAGAATAACTTTCCAGAGAAGGTCATTTGGTTATTTTCAAGACGGTTTTTTAAAACTTTTGAGGCTCCATGGGAACCTAACAATTCTGTCTCCTAACCTTTAAGGCAGGATTTTTAGGGCAAAAGAGAATTGTGTTGAGTTGTGGGATCAGATTTTTGAATGCTGTTTATTTATGACTGTTTACAGCATGCTGTGGTCACATGACCGTGATTTTTAGGGTCTTTTGCAGATTTCAGGACTTTTAATTTCCCATTTCTGGCAAAAAAAAAAAAAAAAGGCCATTAATGAAAATTTGGTTTGTTTGAAGTTTGCATTTGCTTAACGAGTGTGACATTTGCCTCAAGGTGATCCACTTAACAACTATGCCTTACAACTCTAATTCTGGGCTAATTATGGCTGTACGTCGAGGACTCTACGCAACCAAATGATTCCTACAGATTTGGTTTACGTGTTAGCTGCCATTTCCAAGACACAACCTTTCTAGATAGAAAGTAAAAAAAAAAGCTGCTCCGATGTTTGAATTCCTTATGTCCAGTTCTACAGAGGAATTATTGAGTCTGTCATCTGCACCTCTATAACCGTCTGGTTTGGTTCTGCAACCCAACAGGACAGACACAGACTTCAGAGGATAATTAGGACTGCAGAACAACAATTACTACCAACCTGCCTTCCATGGGGGACCTGTATGCTGCATGAGTCAAAAAGGGGGCTATGAAAGTATTTACAGACTCCTCACATCCTGGACATCAACTGTTTCAACTCCTTCCCTCAAAACAAGGCTATCGAGCACTGCACACCAGAACAACTAGACACAAGGACAGGTTTTTCCCCAAACACCATCACTCTGCTAAACAAATAATTCCCACAACACTGTTCAACTATTTACAAAGTCTGCACTGCTATCACTATTAATCTTCTCATCACTCCTTGTCACCCATTCCCTCCCACTTGTGACTGTATGACTGTAACTTTGTCGCTTGCATCCTTACGATTCATATTGACTGTTTCCTAGTATGATTGGATTGCTTATTGTACCCTATGACTATCATTGTTGTACCTGATGATTCTTGACTTTCTTTTCTATTTTTTTCTTTTATGTGCACTGAGAGTGTTTACACCAAGACAAATTCCTTGTGTGTCCAATTACGCTTGACCAATAAAGGATTCTTTATTTATTCTGTATCATGATTATAGTCCTGTGTTTCCTTTTTCTAATTTTGTTTTCTTAAGATGTGATTTCTGAGTCAGACACATTTGCCGTATGGGATGCCTTAGGAGCACCGCGGAATTGAGGCCTGATAAAAATCAACAAACTTCAAATGCAACCGACACTGATCCCCTCAGTCAGACAAAAGACAGAACAGACAAACAACAGTGCATCAGAAAAGGGGCTGGAGGAAAATAAAATAAAATCACCGTCCTTGCAAACAAGTGACTTTAAAGATGTGCGGATTTCAACTCCCAGAATTCCCCAGCCAGGGGAACTCTCCTGTTCGACAGCCAGATACCTGAAGGCCTCCTTTAATTCTTCCCTTCGTTCTTCCTCTCCATGGAGCTTAATGTGCTATCTTCAACTTATTCAACTATTCCTTCTACGGTTTGGTTACCAGCCTCCCTACCCATCTAGATTTACTCTTGAAACACATACCCCTCCCTGGTTCTCCTTAAAACATGGACCCGGCCTTTCATGAAATTAGAACCAGAAGATTTGAATTGGATTGGAGATTGGATAACCCTTTGTCTGAAATGGTATAGAGTTTAGGGTTTCCTGACTAAGCAGGAGGTTAGACTAGAAGACCTCCAAGGTCCCTTCCAACTCTGTTCTATTCTATTCTATTCTATTCTATTCTATTCTATTCTATTCTATTCTATTCTATTCTACTCTACTCTACTCTACTCTACTCCTTGTTCTATTCTTTATTCTATTCTATTCCCTATTCTATTCCTTATTCTATTCCCTATTCTGTTCTATTTTCTATTCTATTCCTTATTCCATTCTATTCTCTATTCTATTCTCTTTCCCATTCTATTCCTTATTCTATTCTATTCCTTATTCTATTCTATCCCCATTCTATCCTTTAATCTATTCTATTCCCTATTCTATTCTATTCTTATTCTATTCTATTCTATTCCCTATTCTATTCTTTATTCTATTCTATTCCCTATTCTATTGTATTCTATTTTCTATTCTATTCCCTATTCTATTCTATTCTATTTTCTATTCTATTCCCTATTCTATTCTATTCCCTATTCTATTCTATTCCTTATTCTATTCTATTCTATTCCCTATTCTATTCTATTTTCTATTCTATTCCCTATTCTATTCTATTCCTTATTCTATTCTATTCTAGTATTCTATTCCCTATTCTATTCTATTTTCTATTCTATTCCAGATTTCCTTTGGATAACCCAATCTGAACATAGACTAGAGTTTCATTCCGACTCTACTTTGACGGCTCAAATCCAACGGAAGAATAGAAGCCATACAGCTTTCCCAGTTTACTCCCTTCCCTGCCTGTAATTTGCTTCAAACAAAGTCTAGCTGGAGTTTAAAACCCTGATGAAAGCAACTAAATCAAAACATGAATCGTTCCATCTGTGAATAGCTGGCAAAGAAAAGTCCATTGGCTCTCCAACTTAAGAATTCTCTAAGCATGGTGGGAATGAAAAAGGAGGCTTGGCAAGATCGTTCTTCTTCCTATTTCTCTCCTTTATAAAATGTTCCTCTGTTTGAAGTACATCATAAACCTTTCTCTTAAAAAGTTTAAAGCGGACAAAGCCTGACCCTACATTATACCTTTGTGTTTAAAAACTTTGGAGCGTGAGAGAAATCAAGTTCATCTCGACGTAGGCAAGGGCTGTTTCAAGAAAAACATTGCATACCTCCACCAAATCACACACGGTCATGAGCTGAACAAAACAAAAGGTCTAGAGGCTCAGAGCCAGCCTAGAAAGCCCTTTGAAGTTAGCAAAACATTGTCCAGGCAGGATCCACTCATGAAAGTGTGGGATAGGCTGTTTGAACCACATTTTGCTCCGAGATCACCTGTGGCCTGTCCATTGAGTAACTTCAACAATACCCCTGTGCTGGTTAGACAGTATATACTTAGTTTAGGAAAGAGAGCTGCTCCCTTAAGGGAATGCTTCATGGGAAATGTAGTTAATAACTCATGGGAGATGTAGTTCATGTCATGTGGTCACATCTGCAATCCTGATTTGTCACTGACTTGATCTCTGGTTGGGCTGGGGGAGGTTTTTGGGCATTCTTACCTGGAACCCAGCATCGTGCTGGAGTTTTCCTTTGCTATAAACACTATGGGATAAAAAATAACCATCTTTTCATAGTATTGAGGCAAAGATTGGACATTAGATGAATCTCAACATAACTGTGAGTTATACTTTGAGGATGCCTAATAAAATCCAATAGACTAACTTTGCATGGAAGCCTTTGTAGTGTTGAACTGCTTGTCCCAGGAACTTTGGGGACATGAAAGTACCAGCAAAACCTCTTATTTCCATGGCTGTGAATTATATTCATTCACCGCCTGCAAGGCTTCACAAACAGTCTTTCAGGGGAATGTTTATAAACACCCATCTTATCGCAAGTTGGAAAGCTGCCAGGGAACTAATTGCCAAGCACAGGGCAAGGCCAAACTTGACAGAATCAAAGAGACCTTTTCAAAGCTTGAATCGACCAGACAAAGTAATTGCTTCCTGCAAAAGCTCACATCCTGTTTGCTCCTTTTTTATGTCCTAGGGGAGAGGCCAATCATCTCTGAGGTGTGGCCTTACTCCTGAGTCGACCCTGCTTTCTCAATTGTTCTTGTCTTCTGGTAGCCCTGAGCATGCACAGGCTGGGAACTGGTTCCAGAAACTCTCCCGCCTCATTGCTGTCTGAGTCTGAAGACAGCTGATGACTACAAGCCTGTCCTGGCCACATTTCTGCCTCTGATGCAGAGCCCTCATTCCAAGTCCCGCTCAGCCTCCAAGACTGGCCCAGGTTCCTTCCCAACCTCCTTGCTACTCTCCGACTCTGCTGCCAACTCTTGTCAGCCGCCACTGGGCCACAACAGTACCAAACCCCTGGATGTTGGAGAACACTTAGTGTCTGTGCAAACCAGAAAATCATTCTAGACAATGAAAACTAGCTGACAAGTCATAAAGGATAAGAGCACGTTGAGCTATTTCAGACATCGTGCTAAACCAACATTGACATGTTAATTAAGCCACGGTGGTGTTTTTTTTTTTGAATGCCTACAATCCTAGATGTCTTCTGAAGCTATTTAGCACCATGAAGAGTCTTGATTGCAACATCTGCAGATAACTCCGGCTTTCTAACCTTCTAACTCAATAGATGCCAATGTCAAGACAAATAATTTCCTTTATTTCTTGCTTCTGATCTATTTCCTGATTCTAATCTTGTACGCACCTTGCCTGATAGGAAGTCAAAAAATGTGTATTTGTGCCCTTGGAGCGGACCTAAGAACTTTACTGGATAGTTGTCTGATTTCAAATCATGTCTTGACTCTTGAGGCAGTTAAGATGATATCCTCGTTTTTCTCCAAAGAAGACCACGCTCTACAAGATTTGTCAACTTTGGGGCACACACAGAGCTTGGGAAACATCTCTTGGGATGTACACAAAATGACTATCCTTTAAGGAAGGGAGCTTGGCTATTCCCAGATGGCTGCTTTTGGGTCGCAGTCAGGCACAAAATACCTATGAAATACGTTGTGAGGTTGATATTCACATTTTTCCTCCAGATAGTTCTCCCTCCCAGCTCTGGGCAGGTGGGCATCCTTCTCAACGAAGCCTTGAACTGGAAGCATTTAGAATTGGGGTGCACAACTATGGCCCCTTTATGACCTGTGGTTTTCAATTCCCAGAATCCCTGCGCCATAGTCAGTTGGACATAAAGGGGCGATAGTTGCCCACCCGTGATTTAGAAGATCTATAGAAGCATGTAGAACATCTATAGACTCTGGACTGGAAGTAAAGGTCACAAGGTCTCTTCTGCCCTTCCAAATAAAAATCCAGTGGTCCAGAGAGCCTGGTAGACTCTGAAGTAGACATCCATTGGTGCCCCCAGAGATTGCAAGTCAACCTAGGTGTTGTGACCCACCAGCGGCCAGCTGAGCTGGTTACAGACTTGGACAGTGAGGAGGTTGGGGAAGAACATGGGCCAGTCCTGGAGTCTGAGGAAGGCTCTGATGAGGGCTCTGCATCGGAGGCAGAGATGGGGCCAGGGTCATCCGACAGTTATCAGCTGCCTTCGGAGTCAGAGATCAGTGGGGCAGAAGAACAGCTGGAGCCTGTTCCCAGTGTGCACATGCACAGAGCTGTCAGGAGAAGGGAACAGTTCAGGAACAAGGGTCGACTCAGGAGTAAAGGCTCAGGTGAACGGTGAATGGCCCCTCCCACAGGGAATAAAGAGGAGCGAAAGGGGAGTGATGTTTGCAGGAGACAATTAGTTCAATTCGTTAGGGTGAAGATCTGTTCCTGATTCCTTGCCAAGTAATTTCTGCTACAGCATGGCGCTTGGAAGATATAAGCCTGGCAACTCTCCAAGCCTGATAAAGATCTGTAGCTGTGAAATCTCTTGAAAGACCGTTTGCTGGGACTTTGCTGGAGAGAGGAATTCCTTTTAACTTAAATAAAAGGGGTTTTATCGGGACGGGGAGCCGGCTTCACGATCTTGGGAAGGTCTAGGTCAGAACACTACGAGAGAAGGTGGCCTGGTTCACCCAGCAAGCTAAACCCTTTGAACATCTCTTCTAAGATCTAATGAACGCTTTCCCTAAACACATTTGTTAGAGGAGATTATTGGCATGAGTAATTATCTTTTGTTTTGGGGTGGGAGGGGCGTGGCCTTTAGAGTGCCACCTTGTTTAGCAGGTCTCAAAAGACCCTCCAGGGATTACTTAAGATTTATCGGCTGGCCAAAAGCTTCTCCGGGAATTGTGTCCAGAATGCAAGAAGCATTTTGCAAAACCGATGGACCACCTGTCCATGCCGAGACTCCGGAATGACTTTGGGAGAAAGAAGCTCCAAGCCTTCTGAAGGTTCAAAGGATAAGCCACAATATAAATCTGCTCAGGATCTGGCGCCGATCCCAGATTATTATTATTTTTTTCCACCACTATCGGATTGCAAAGAGATGAAAGAGGGAAGGCCGCTTTCCAGTTGGCCCTGCAATTTCTCAAAAAGTTTCTTCCACCGCAAAAGAGGCTTCGGAGGTTTTTTTTTTGTGTGTGTGTGTCTTCCTCTGCTTTGAGAATTTCTTTCAGGCAATCTCCTACTTTCTTTCAGGTGATCTCCTACTTTTGAAATGGACTTTGTTATGGAAATAAAAATACCCCCCCAAAAAACTGTCCTATGCAAAGTCAAAGTGCATGTCCCACAAATCTACATGGCGAGATAAAAACAAAACAGACAAACAAACCTTCAATTTAGTCCCATTCAGACATTTGCCCTGCAGCTTGAATTTCAAGGGAGGAAGAAAAGAAAAAACAACTATCTAGCAATCTGACTACAAAAATAATCCCATCCCTTGCAAATTAAAAGAATGGCTTCAAAAGATCTTAGAGATCTTTTAAAAGGCCATCCTGTTAAAAGCCTATCCCACCATCCTGTCAGAGCTGAAGAAGCTTCTTGGATGAGAAGCAAAATGCCTTCAAAGAAAAAAGCAAGAAAGTCCAGTTGCCTCCTGGAAAAACAAAAGCAATTTGGACTGAGAATCTCTACAGATTTTTAGCCTTTTAAAAGTAGCCTTGAATTGTTTGTTTATATGAATCAAGCTGATATAAACTTCGGTTAGATACTCTGTGCTCATTTAGCCTCAAAACAAAACAAAAAATAACATCTTTCAGTGCCTCACATTGAGTCCACATGCCTGGGACAAAAGTTAAGATCCAAGCCAAACCCAGACATAGTGAAGTCAGACTGAATTAAGCAAAGCTCCCATTTGGGTTTACACGACGCTTTTCATGAGCCTGGCTCTCAAAATGGCAAGGGATTCATTTACAGCACAACTGGTGCTGAAGGGGACCCATTTTGAAACAATACCCACACCATTAGGAAACGTCTTCCTAAAAGCTTTGCAGAAAATGTAACCCAGACCGTGATGGAGCCAGAGGTGGTATTCAGCCGGTTCTGACCAGTTCTGGAGAACCAGTAGCAGAAATTTTGAGTAGTTTGGAGAACCGGCAAATCCCACCTCTGACTGGCCCTGCCAACCCCATTTATTCTCTGCCTCCCATTGAGTCCCATCTGATCGGCTGGGCCTTCTTTGGTTGCCCTGCACAGGAGAACAGAGCTGGAAAGCAGGTTAGTGGGGTGGGGAGGGAACAGGATTTTGCAGTAACCTTCCCCTGCCACACCCACCAAGCCACGCCCACCAAGCCAAGCCACACCCACAGAACCGGTAGTAAAAAAAATGAATCCCACCACTGAATGGAGTATGAATCAATTCAGTATATAAAGCCAGTTTTTTCTTTAAAAAAAAAAGTGGGTGGTAACCATTCGTTTTCTGGCTGTTCGAAGTTACGACAACACCGTACAAAGTGACTTAGGACTGTTTTTCATACTTATGACCGTTGCAGCTTCCTTGTGGTCACGTGACCAAAATTCAGCCACTTGGCAACTGGTTTATACCTATGATGGTCGTGGGATCATGTGATCCTCTACTGCAACTTTCTGACAAGCAAAGTTAGTGGGGAAGCCAGATTCACTTAATGACGTTACTAATTTAACAACTGCAGGGATTCACTCAACGACGGTGGCCAGAAAAATGGGGCAAAACTCACTCAATAAAATTTCTCATAAATTTGCAACATAAATTTGGGGAGTCGACTGTTGGTATTTGCAAGCTCAGGATTGAACTGTGGGGTCCTGGATGCTCTCTGAGCTTGAAGAACAACCCAGCCCACTTCCTCCCCGCCTCCCTAAATAACTGGTTCTCCTATAGTTGTAGTTGGATCCAGTGGTCCTCTCTCGTTTTGCCATTTTTCCTGGCCAAAGAACAGCCACACCCTTGGTCTCTCTGTTTTTTTCTCCACCAAAGAAGCTGCTGTGGTAAGTTATCTGCAAGGGGCTCCACGCCTTTTCTTCCTCCTCCTCCTGAGAGGGATCTTGGGGTCTTAGTGGACAACCAGCTAAAAAGATGAGCCAGCCGTGTGCAGCAACAGCCAAAAAAGCTAATGCAATCCTAAGCTGCATTAACAGAGGGATACAATGAAGATCAAGGGAGATACTAATACCATTATAAAGCCTTAGTAAGACCACACCTAGAGTACTGTATCCAATTTTGGTCACCACACTATAAAAAAGATGCTGAGACTCTAGAAAAAAGTACAGAGAAGAGCAACCAGGATGATGAGGGGACTGGAGGCTAAAACATATGAAGAACAGTTACAGGAACTGGACCTGGCTAGTCTAGTGAAGAGAAGGACCAGGGGAGACAGGATAGCAGAGTCTTCCAATGTTTAAGGGACTGCCACAGAAAGGAAGGGGGTCAAGCTATTTTCTAAAACACCTGAAGGCCAGACAAGGAATAATGGATGGAAACCGAAGAAGAGATTTAACCTGGAAATAAGGAGAACTTTTCTGAAAATGAGAACAACCAACCCATGGAACAGAAGTTGTGGGAGCTTCATCCCTGGAAGCTTTTAAGAAGAGACTGGACTGTCAGAAATGGTGTAGGGTCTCCTGCTTGGGTGGCAGGTTGGACTAAATGACCTACAAGGTCCCTTCCAACTCTGTTCATCTGTATTTATCTGTAACCCCGCAGATAAGAAAAGCAGGAAAGGGTGTGCAAGTTTCCTCCACCGAACACACATCACCCGGCAGATGAAAGGACCTCCAGAACATCTCCCCCTGGTCCCATTTCTCCTGCAGGGTGGTCCTTTGTTCTCGCTCTTTCCTCCCGAGCTGATCCCAGCAATGGTGTGCGCAGCATCACCCGTAGATCAAACACTCGTGCATGAGTTTTCCTTCCCCATATCTTGAAATCAGAGAATCAGGCTTTAATGGGGGACTTCCCTGTGCCCTAAGCTCAGAACCTCTGAGCAGAGATGGTCAGAAACAGGTTATGCTCTGGGAGGGAGGGAGGGAGGGAGAGGGAGAGGGAGGGGGAGAGAGAGAGAGAGAGAGAGAGACTGGTGGCAATAGCCTCGGAGCTAACCTGGGGTCAGATGTGGAGAAAACGTGGGTAGCTCAAGGCAGGATTTAAATCCACAAGTCTGAAAGTTGCCAAGGTTGGAGACGCCCTGATTTAGAAGAAATTCAGGGTGCCTTTGACTTGATTTTTGGAGTTTGTCCCAGGTAGACAAAGGCCAGTGTTTTGAATGGCTAGAAACTAGACATAACAGGTGTTTTCAAAACAACCTTCAACTAAACCACCACCAATTGTACCGCTTCTGACTCAGGATGGCGACGGTGTTCCTAAGTTAGTTTCCTCCAAGCCATTATCAACCACCGATGAGAACAGCGGTGAACACTTAAGTGTCCAGCATGTCAGTAGAGAGGAAAAAAATCAATCTCTCTCCTCTTCTTTTTTTTTTCTTCTTCCTCCCCCTTTGAGGAAGGCAGAAGGCAAAAGTTTCCCACTTCAGATTTTCAACAGAGTCTTAAGTTTGTTATAAACCATCACTGATCCCTCCAGGCGAAGGCAGTGTGTGCGCGGAAAGGCCTCAAACAGAATTTATTTCCAGGCTTGGTGTAAATGTTTCCATC